TGTGGCACAAGTGACTTATAGAAAAAAACCCTAAAAAAAAAAAAAAAAAAAAAAACATTTAGGGGACCAACAGTTGGAGTAATGGCTAAGTCGTTGAAGTCCCATGTGGTCAACTGTGGTTCAAGTCCCAGACCTGGTGGCTTAAACTCATGCTAAGTGCATGTGCGTGCGTGCCCAAGATCCCGAGAGGAGAATGGAGGAGAAGGGATTGCAGCATGGCCATCCCCCTGGGGGGTAATTTCTCGCTTTCTGTCTCTCTATCTCTGTCTGGTTGGTGAGCGCACACGCTCTATAGCAAAAACCTCTCAAAAAATGTAATTACTTTCATTATAAATACATTCAGTATGAGTTAAAAGTGATTTGGAGAAAATAATATTTTGTTCATGCAAATACAGTGTTCTATATGCTAGAATCTAGAAGAAAACATGTTGTATGTAATTAATAGTCTACTAACCTGGAAACAAATATTATAAAAGCACATGACTATAAAGAGATATCTTGAAATCTGTCGATTGGGGAATTTTATAGCAAAAAGTAAATTTAAACCTAAAATATTAAGCGGGAATTCTAAATCTCTCATTGGTCATCAGTTGTGGAGCTGTCCTTGCTCAGTAATTATCTTCGTAGATGGTTTTGTTCCCACAGGCTGCCACTAGGTGTCAGCACCACCCATCAGCTTCCTCATTTCAGTAACAACAGGTCTTTGGGTTGGGGAGGGCAGGCTAGGGGGAGAGTTTCTTTTATCATACATAGACACATCTCTACTATATAGAGCAGTAATAGTGTTTCCTGCGCTTTTCCTCGAGCTTGGAGTGGTCCAAAGGCCATATATGTGATTATCAGTTCCCATTTCACAGCTAGGAAACAAAAACTCCAGGAGGAGCATGCCTGATCACGGCCAGGAGAGTGAGCTGAACAGGGCCCAGCCCTGGTGCCGCATTGTCCAGACGCTCTGTCCAGGGTTGTAAGGCCACACTCCAACTCTCACCTCCACCTTGGGTTTCCCTGGGAGGGCTGGGGGAGGTCACGCCGCTGGTCTCCCCCTCCCAGGCTACTTGAATGTGCTGGTGAACCAGGGCTGGAAGGAACGCTGGTGCCGCCTGAAGTGCAACACTCTGTATTTTCACAAGGACCGCGCAGACCTGCGGACCCACGTGAACGCCATTGCCCTCCGCGGCTGTGAGGTGGCCCCAGGCTTCGGGCCCAGGCACCCATTTGCCTTCAGGATCCTGCGCAACCGTCAGGAGGTGGCCATCTTGGAGGTGAGGGAAGAGAATCTGGGGGTCCTTGGTGGGAGCCCTCAGGCCTGGGTGTCCTGTTTTTGTTTGGGGAACCTTGCTGCTGACCCTGC